TCCTCTTTTGCTTTTGTGGCTTCATGTGATTACACTGCATCCACCTGGATAATCCAGGATAATCTATTTTAAAGTCAGGTGGTTAGTAACTATAATTATGCTGCTAAGTTCCTTCACAGCAGTATTTTGATTAGGTTTGATTAAATAACAGTGAATAGTGATCTTGAAGTGGGAGTTGGTATCTTTAGAGCTCTGCCTAACATAGTTGATTTGTCTATACTTGCATTTATGACCACAGTCTTAATTACCATAGTTTTATAGTAGCTTTCCACCTGTGACATAGTTGTTCAGCAATGTTCAAGATTATCTTGGCTAGCATATATGTAATTGGAATATTAAAAGATTTATAATGAGACAGGAGCAATATTCACATAGATAATGGCCAATTTTTTTCAGGACTGATAAAAAGCATCAGGGATAGATATTGCCAAATTGCCCTTTGAAATTTTTGCAGCAATTTACTGCTTCATTAACACTGTATGCAAAGGCCTATTTCCTTCCACTCATGACAACACTGGGTTTAAGTTTTAAAATGAATGCTAATCTGATAGGTAAAATATGCAGTTTCCTCACTTTGAGTTCTGTTTTAAAAATTGTGAATGAATTTAAGTATTTTTTGTTTGTTTATATTCTATTCATATGTTGCCAATGGTTTTGTTTATTGTCATTCAGAGAGTTTTAAAATTTATGATGTTAAACTTATACTTGTATGGGTTTTGCATTTAGGATCATGTTTATAAAACTCATGTTTCAAGATTAAAAAAGAATCCCTCATTTTTTTCCTGGGTATTTTGTGGATTCTGTTTTGTGTTGTTTTGTTTAAATCTTTTATCTTAAATTTAGATTTGTTCTGGGCTAAGAAATGAAGCCACTTTCTTGAAAGATCATACAAAGGTACCAAAGACCCTTTCATTCCCCTTAGGCAGCTCTTTCCCCTGACCCCTACACTACACTTCTCTGGAGTAGTTTCAGGGAGTGAACGGTTTGTGAATTGGAAAATGCCCCTATCTCCAGAGCAAAGATGAGGCCATGACAGAAATATTGGTGTCCTCAGGCTATGATATTCTGTATTTGCTGTTTTATTAGTAAATGTCATAGCTGAAGCTCATTTAGCTTTATGAGCAGAATAGGAGTTTGAATGAAGGCACATAGAATCTTAGGAATTCTCCATCTGTAGACAAGTTCTCTAGCTCAGCAGCACTGTTAGGGAAAGCAGGAAGCTGGATGGCTTAGAACCAACCATTCATGACCTGCTGTGCCTTGGCTCAGGCACATAAAAAACTTCCTTTGTTCAAAGACAAATGCTTATTCAAATATGTTTTACTAAAAGGAACCATATTTTAGAAATTGATCTGTAGGTAGGTTTGTATGAAAATGCCACGGGGCTAACCATGTGAAAGAAATCTTCCTCTGAACTTTCTGACTTCAACATCAATAAAAAGAATCAAGCAATTAGATTTAATTCCATAAGCCTGCTTCTGTAGAAAATGTTTTCATGAGTATCTGTGGTAGAAGGATTAAAGACCTAGCTTATCCAAAGGGAAGCTAAATGAGATACACTAGCTTGCGGCTTATTGTTCAGAATGCTCTCATTTTTTTTTGCCTGCAATTTTTCACTTTTGTGAAGCCTCACTAAACTATACTATCATCAAAGATTTTATTGTGAGTTCCTTCTGTACTTCATTTATTACTTAGTTCATGAAAGAATATAAGCCTCAAATGTCTAATATGTTGTTAAATCATAAAATCCAAAAGTGTCCTTGAGGAGAATGAGTCTGATGTGTTCTCTGGTTTAGTAATTGCTCTACAGAATTTCTGAGTCTTCAAAGCTCTTTTTTTAAGTGACAGTAAACTACTTGTAGTCTGTGGTTTTACTGGACAGTTTTTATTATAGGAAATTTATTTTTTTGTTTTAGCATAAATGGATTTATATTCAGAGGAGAATAATCATGGTGGTGAAGGGACATGGAATTATGTAAGGAATGTCTGCATAAGGCTGGGAAAGTTTCTTTTGTTGAGGAGTATACTCAGGGGAGATAGACAACTGTCTGAGAGCTTGTAAAGAACCATCCTATGTAAGGTAGATTAAATTCAGTCTCTGTGATCATAAGGGCTTCCCTGGTGGCTCAGTGATAAAGAACCCACCTGCCAAGGCAGGAGACATGGGTTCGATCCCTGGGTCCGGAAGATCCCCGGAGGAGGAAATGACACGTTCCAGTATTCTTGCCTGGGAAATCCCATGGACAGAGGAGTCTGGCGGGCTACAGTCGTTGGAGATGCAAAAGAGTCAGACTTGACTTAACGACTAAGCAACAACAGCAACAACAACTAGGATCCTAAAGGTGATCCTACTAAATAGTTAACAGAGTTGGCTAATTATTCAGTGGCTACTTTGGGAGGTAGCAAGATCCTTAGCACCACAGGGATAAATAGGTTAGCAGACCACTGGATGAGATTACTGGAGATGACACTTACATATTGGCACAGTTCCAATAGATTATGTTACTCTGAAATGTGAATTTCCAACTATCCCTGGCCCCAGGGAATTCTCCCCGACTACTGGCCCTAGCTTGGATGCTGTATTCACTTTCTAGGGACGTCATAACAAAGTACCACAATCTTGGCGGCTTAAACAACAGAAATTTACTGTGTCACAATCCTGGAGGCCAGACATCAGAAATCAAGACGTGAGGAGAGCTGGCTCCTTCTGAGGGCTTCAAGGGAAGGCTCTGTTCTGGGATTCTCTCCTTGGCTTGCAGATGGCTGCCTTTATGTTCACGGGGTTTTCTCCCTGTATGTGTGTCTGTCTCTAGTTATTATCATTTTTAAAATAAAGATATCAATTTAGGGCCACTATAATAATCTCATTTGAGCTTCTTTATCTATTTACCTCATCTCCAAAGAAGGTCACATTCTGATGTCCTGGGGCTGAGACTTCATATGAAATTTTAGGGGACAAGACTCAACCCATACAGATGTATAAGGGAAAATTGGACCTATAGGATAAAGAGATTGGGGGAGTTCGTGAATTCTAGAAATTGGCCAGATTAGTCACTATTTTACAAAATTCCTATTGTACTTACTGTGTAACTTTTCAGCTGAAAATAAACACTTGATTATGCTCACAGATCCTGTGGGTCAGAAATTTGGATGAGGCCTAGTTCAATAGCTTTTCTCTGCTCATATGTCAGGGCCTCAGTTGAGAAGATTGGGTGGCTCAAGAGCTGGGGGCTGAAGTAATTTGCCTGGTGATTGATGTTATTTGTTAATTGTGAGATCAATAGGGGTGTCAACTGAGACATTTCCATTTGGCCTGTTGGTGTCTTCCTCAAAGTATGACGGTCTCAGGGTAATTCCCTTTGTGTAGCATTAGGACTCCCAGAGTCAGTATCTTGGCAGACAAAGTTGGGGCTGTATTGTCTTTTCTGACCAAGCCTTGGGAGTCTGCAATGTCACTTCTGCCACATTCTATTGGTTAAAAATGGATCACATGCCCACTCAGAATTTGAGGAGGGGATATAGGCACTGTCTTTCTTGGCATGAGAATTTCTGAACATAAAAGAAAACAAGAACACACATATCTATTTAAAGAGAATTTAAATGATAGGATATATTATAAAAGACCACCTAAGAGAAAATCAAGCTTATTGTCTTGCTCTGTGTGATTTACTCTGACTTACTAATTTCACTTTATCTACTGGTCATGTGTGGAAATATTAGACATAGAATAATTTTAAAATTATTCCCAACATAGAATAATTTTAAAATTAATCCCACATTGAGTAATGTTGAGTAACATCTACTAGGCTTCCAGGAATCACTTCCTCTCACCCCCTCAAAAACAAAAAACAAAAAACAAAACCAAGATGTTTTAACAAAAAAGTATAAAAGAATATTAAGTATAGCCCAGTTTTGCTTTTTTTCTGTTTTTATGACTTGTCCAAGCAATTGAACTAGCTTATATATTTATTTAATAAAAAGTCCTAACACTGACCAGGCCAGGGATCTTCTCTGGCTTTGATATAGTCACCAGGTGGCCTTTGCTTTCAAGGTAATTCCAGCTCTCTGTTGATTCCATAGCTCTTGTTTTACATCTGCTTCAAAGCATAAACATAAATCAGGTATGCATTTTTATTGAACAAGTTGAACTCTGTAGTGTGTGAATTATTTTCTATTCTCACCTTTCAAATCTGGTTTTGGACTTACTCTTTCCTACCTAGGATGGAATATTTGGCAGGTCAAATAGCTTTCTGGTTCCTTCAATCACAAGAAAGTCTCACTTTAACAAAAAGAAATTTTTTTTGTCAAGTATACTATCAAAATTTAGAATTCTTATCTAATGTAGGGTTCTCCTGAACCCCTGCTTAGGAACGGGAGAAGCATGCCCTACCTCTTCATAATTTTGTAATTCTACTTCTCCCACTTCTAGGTATGGTTTCTGACTCCTCTGGAGAAGAAAGAGAAGAGGTAAGAAAAGTTTTATTTGACTGATATGGTTGTATCTGGCAACAAACTGGAAGCTGCAGTGACTTTTCTGAGCTAGCCTCAGAAGTCCTGCAATGTCATTTCTGCCACATTCTGTTGTTTGATAGAGAGTCACAGGATACCCACAGTTAAGGGTGGGGGACATAGATAAGGAACGTGTCAAAGATGACAGTCAGATAGTTGTCTCTTATTCTTTGGGGGTGTTCTTTTTTCCTGGGAGAGCCTCCTGCTAGAGGATCTATGACTGCAGTTCTCTTTTAAACAAGTAATGTTCCCATATCTGGCTGCTTTTGAGTCTCATTATCCAGAAGCTGCTTGCAATATGTTTCCCTACAGTGGGCCTGGGCTTTTCCAGACTCATCTCTTACACCCCAGACAGGCTACCTTTTTGGCCCCAGAGCCACATCTGGGTCCCAGGAAACGGACTCCTTTGTCTGCTGTCATTGGTAGTGTAAATACTGACTAATGCAGCTCTCTCTGCTGTTTATAGTCAGGCTAATAATAGCCATGGCCTTGCATCTGTGGACTTCCTGCAGCAGAAGCAGACTCCAGTCTCTGGTCTGCCAGTCTTCAGAGGCTGTAGGCAAGGTTTTTGAAAGGTTCACAGAAGCTCCTCTCACCTGGATTAAGGTGAAGGAAAGTACTTTTTCCTCTCATCTCCCATCTCATCTCCTCCATAGCACCCAGAACAGTTTCCAAAAGCACTCTCTCTCTAGGCTTTTTCCGTTTTGTTATTTACAGAAATAGAGGTGGGAAATGAAACGATGTTAGTAGACTCAGTCCCACAGTCCTTAGGGTGTATTGCTTTGGCAATCTAGCTCCACAATTTAGACATTGTGCTTAGACTTCAGGGCCACTGGTAAAATTCCAAGACAAAAGAGTCCTATTTTAATGTCTTGGTGCCCTTCAGCCAAGATTAATAAAGCAGAAAAGGCATTTTTCCTGTAGTAGTGTTTAATAAATCCAAGAAATTATTAGTCAGGCATGTCCAAGTTTAGAGAGAGGATTTTTCAGGAGTATTTCAAAGCCATTGGAGGTTGCATGGCATTTTGAGAGAAGTTTGTGAGACGAAACTTATGAAGAGAGTAGTGGGAGAGATTTCAAGAGGCCAATGTTCTCTTTGTTATCCAACTCCTCACTTGTTTCTTATAAGCTACTCTTTATACTGCAGTGAAGGGGTTATTCTAAACTGAAAACCTATTTGTGTAATTCCTCTTTAATGTTTTTTGTATCTCCTTTAAAAGATAAAGACCAAATTCTTCAGTTTAACAGAGACTATTCCTCAGGATCTATCCCTTGGCATTCTTTGAAGCCCTACATTTCACCAATACACTGGAGAAGAAAAGAAATATAGGTGTGGGATAGGACGAATGCATGATCAGAATTAGCCTTCTCCTTCCCTAATCACTCAGGCCAAATTTGGCAGATGCCAAGAAGGAAAGGAACCAATACAGAACTGTATTGAGATTGGAGTTTTAAATTTTGAATTAGATAAGGTTAGACATTAACAGCTAGATGTGACCATCAACCTATGAAATCTGCGTAAGATGTTGAAATTTAAGAAACAGAGATTTTATAGAGAATGGTTAAAAGGAGAAAAGCAAACATTGTTTCATTCTTGTACTCCACTAATTTTAGATTGATAAGTAGTTTAAAAAATGTAGGAATCATTTAGCAGGGACAGGACTTAGGGGAGTGATGAGCGGGAGTATGGAAGATGGAGGTTGGAGCACAGGCTTATTTGTATGATTTTGCTGGGAATTTGAGATTTGAAACCACACTGGAAATTATCTAGCAGTAAGGTTTTTTGAATAGACATTCCAGATTAAAGAAAAAATTGAATTCAGAAGAGTTATATGAGGTCAAGTCCAGGTTACAGGATTTTTCTGATTGTTCACTAAGCTTCACCATGTTGAGCTTCCTCAGTTTCTTAATGTGGCAGATTCTTTGTTGTCCTGGGACTTTGCAAGAGTTCTGCTTAGAAGAAATGCTGCCTCGCCCCCCCTACCCCCATCCCCACTCCCACCCCCGTAATCTTTACCTACTAACCTCTGTGAATCCTTTAGGTTTCAAATACCATATTCTATTTTTAGAGCGGTCTTTTCTGACCCTCTCAGCATAAATTGGGTGCCCCTTTATTATAATCATGGGCTTCCCTTGTAGCTCAGCTGGTAAAGAATCTGCCTGCAATGTGGGAGACCTGGGTTCAATCTCTGGGTTGAAAGATTCCTCTGGAGAAGGGAAAGGCTACCCATTCCAGTATTCTGGCCTGGAGAATTCCATGGACTGTCCATGGGGTCGCAAAGAGTTGGACATGACTGAACGACTTTCACTTTATTATAATCACATATGTTCCCTCTGTTTTTCTGTCTTTTTTGGGGGGCTCATATTATTTGTAACTATATATTTATCTTTGTGTTTATTTGTCTCATGTCTGATTCCACCACTAAATGATAAGCCTCAGGAGTGTGAGGCTATAATTGTTTCATCATCACTATATAAGCAACACTTAGCAGAATGCTTGAAACAGAAGATAGTCAATGATTTTTTTAAAAATCAGGAATAAATAAGTCTTTCCTTGATTATGCTAAAACTTTCACAGTGTTTCTGTGAGCAGGGTATTAATAGTAAGAGAGAGAATGAATAATTTAGGAAATGGACATTTGTGAACTGCAATTTAGGTGGTTGGAGAAGACTCTAGAGAGTTCCTTGGGCTGCAAGGAGATCAAACCTGTCAATCCTAAAGAAAATCAGTCCTGAATATTCATTAGAAGGACTGATGCTAAAGTTGGAGTTCCAATACTTTGGCCACCTGATGTGAAAAACTGACTCATTGGAAAAGACTCAGATGCTGGGAAAGATTTAGGGCAGGAGGCAAAGAGGACAACAAGAGATGAGATGGTTGGATGGCATCACTGATTCAGTGGACATGACTTTGAGAAAACTTCGGGAGATACTAGAGGACCAGGAAACCTGGCGTGCTGCAATTTATGGGGTCTTAAAGAGTTGACACAGCTTAGTAACTGAACAACAAAAACAAGCACAGACTAAAGCATAAAAAGCACAGACTTGAGGCAAGGGATTTAAAAAATCTCCAACTAGGCTCAGTGAAGAGGAGCTGGATACTGATTGTGAAACAGACTTCATGTCTCATACTCCTTGATTATACATCTCTGAGAGGCCTTAAAAGGACACATGAAATGACCTGTTGTCAATAAGAATGTGATTATGGGGATGGGATCTTGCTATTGTGTTTGAAATAAATTATGTATGGTGGAAAACATGTAGAACTGAAATTAGGGGAAACAACTCTAGCCGTTATAATGATTTTGAATAAAATAAATATTGAGTAAGAATGCTTTGTAAATAACTGTATGATAACATGCTGTGGAATAAGAAGTGGCCTGTGAAAGGAAGTTCAGTTCAGTTGCTCAGTCATGTCCGATTCTTTGCGACCCCATGGACTGCAGCATGCCAGGCATCCCTGTCCATCACCAACTCCCGGAGCTGGCTCAAACTCATGTCCATCGAGTTGATGATGCCATCCAACCATCTCATCCTCTGTTGCCCCCTTCTCCTACCACCCTCAATCTTTCCCAGCATCAGGGTATTTTCAAATGAGTCAGTTCTTCCCATCAGGTGGCCAAAGTGTTGGGGTTTCAGCTTCAGCATCAGTCCTTCCAATGAATATTCAGGACTGATTTCCTTAAGAATGGACTGGTTGGATCTCCTTGCAGTGTAAGGGACTCTCAAGAGTCTTCTCCAACAACACAGGTCAATATCACTAATTCTTCAGCGCTCAGTTTTCTTTATAGTCCAACTCTCACATCCATGCATGACTACTGGAAAAACCATACCTTTGATTAGACAGACCTTTGTTGGCAAAGTAGTGTCTCTGCTTTTTAATATTCTGTCTGTGTTGGTCATAGCTTTTCTTCCAAGGAGCAAGCATCTTTTAATTTCACAGCTACAGTCAACATCTGCAGTGATTTTGGAGCCCCAAAAATAAAGTCTGTTACTGTTTCCATTGTATCCCCATCTATTTGCCATGAAGTGATGGGACCAGATGCCATGATCTTAGTTTTCTGAATGTTGAGTTTTAAGCCAACTTTTTCACTCTCCTCTTTCACTTTCATCAAGAGGCTCTTTAGTTCTTCTTCACTTTCTGCCATAAGGGTGGTGTCATCTGCATATCTGAGGTTATTGATATTTCTCCCGGCAATCTTGATTCCAGCTTGTGCTTCTTCCAGCCCAGCGTTTCTCATGATGTACTCTGCATATAAGTTAAATAAGCAGGGTGACAATATACAGCCTTGACGTACTCCTTTTCCTATTTGGAACCAGTCTGTTGTTCCATGTCCAGTTCTAACTGTTGCTTCCTGACCTGCATACAGGTTTCTCAAGAGGCAGGTCAGGTGGTCTGGTATTCCCATCTCTTTCAGAATTTTCCACAGTTTATTGTGATCCACACAGTCAAAGGCTTTGGCATAGTCAATAAAGCAGAAATAGATGTTTTTCTGGAACTCTCTTGCTTTTTCGATGATCCAGCGGATGTTGGCAATTTGATCTCTGGTTCCTCTGCCTTTTCTAAAACCAGCTTGAACATGTGGAAGTTCATGGTTCACGTACTGTTGAAGCCTGGTTTGGAGAATTTTGAGCATTACTTTGCTAGTGTGTGAGATGAGTGCAATTGTGCAGTAGTTTGAACATTGTTTGATATTGCCTTTCTTAGGGATTGGAATGAAAACTGACCTTTTCCAGTCCTGTGGCCACTGCTGAGTTTTCCAAATTTGCTGGCATATTGAGCGCAGCACTTTCACAGCATCATCTTTTAGGATTTGGAATAGCTCAACTGGAATTCCATTACCTCCACTAGCTTTGTTCATAGTGATGCTTCCTAAGGCCTAGTTGACTTCATATTCCAGGATGTCTGGCTCTAGGTGAGTGATCATACCATTGTGATTATCTGGGTCATGAATATCTTTTTGTACAGTTCTTCTGTGTATTCTTGCCACCTCTTCTTAATATCTTCTGCTTCTGTTTGGTCTATACCATTTCTGTCCTTTATTGAGCCCATCTTTGCATGAAATGTTCCCTTGGTATCTCTAATTTTCTTGAAGAGATCTCTTGAAGAGATTTTCTTGAAGAGTCTTCCTCATTCTATTGTTTTCCTCTGTTTCTTTGCACTGATCACTGAGGAAGGCTTTCTTACCTCTCCTTGCTACTTTTTTGTGAAAGGAAAAAAAGCCCAAAATTTGAAATCAAAGCGTTATTTTCTTTCAATGTAAAGTATTTCCTTATCATTGTTATTAAATCCTATAATGGAAATGTTAATAGGAATCTTTACCATTCACACAACAATACCTTGAAATTTAGGATACATAGGGCTGCCCTTATGGGTCAGCTGGTAAAGAATCCACTTGCAATGCCAGAGATCTGAGTTCAATCCCTGGGTTGGGAAGATTCCCTGGAGACAGGAAAGCCTACCTACTCCAGTATTCTGGCCTAGAGAATTCCATGGACTGTATAGTCTATGGGGTCACAAACAGTCGGACATGACTGTGTGACTTTCACTTTCACTAGAAAGTGCCACATGGGTTTATGGGAGGCAATTATTTTACACATTTTGGAGAAGTGGAGATCAAGTATAAAGGAGTGTTAGAATGAATGTTGGTACATAAGGTTGCAAGGGAAAAGATATGTTTATTTCTACCTACAAGTTGAGCCAGTTCCCAGATGTCAAATTACTGGCCAGGTTCCAGAGGAAATGGCTATTGACCTTTATTTCTTGTTCACTGCCACTGAAAGTTGAACTTTCAAGTTGCTTTGGCAGAGGTGTGGGTGACACCCTTCTGCCCCTAGTCTTTCTGTGTAATGTGCAGATGTCCTCAGCCATCTATAACAGATGCGTCCTGAGGTGCCGGTTCCTGGAATAACAAGTCAAATGGCTGACACCCAACTCTGAGCTGTTATTCTATGCCAGGTGGCATGAGCTAAGAACTTTTATATGGATTATTTCAATTCGTCCTTATTAGATATTTCTGATGTTAGCTATTATTGTCATCATTTCCATTTTATAGATATCGAACTGGAGGCTTAAGGAAGCTAAGCCACTTGCCTAAGATTTTACATGTAGTAAGTAGCAGAGGCAAGATCCAAACCCAGGTAATTTGATTCTAAACCCTGTACTGTCTTGCCTAATGGTTTGTCATCAAGGAATTCACTCTCCCTGATGGATGTAGTGGAAGCTTAATGGATAGAACTGTAGGTTAATGTTAAATGCTATACAATCTACATTAGACTTATGCAAGTGAGAGTGGAATGGCCAAAGGTCAGAAATATTTGGCGGTGCATGCATAAACAATCTATGTTGCTTGTTCTTCATGTGCAAAGTACTCTGTAAGAAACCTGCAGCCACTCCAACATCCCCAAATCTGATGGGGAGACTTGTGTATTGGAACTGGAGGACTGGTGCTTAAATCATTAATGTGGCCTTATTCCCCAAGCCTCTGAAAGAGCAGCCGCTGGTAGACGCCTTCCTTCTCCTCCTCTCTTGGGGAAAAGCTTAGGGGTGGGATACATGCTTTTTTTGAGAAAAATGGAGAGTCCAGGGAGACACTCTCTCACCATCCTCTCTGTGGGACCTTGCACTAGACTCAAATCACCTGAGAATTACTCCTGTATTAAAGACCATTTCTTTAAGTTTTTTTTTCCTCCTCTGATTCATTAATGCAGTAAGTTCTGGGAAGTCTTGGCCTACATAAGGACTTCTCTGCCAACAGTCTTTAAGTTGAGTATGAATAATTGAGTATTTGCTGTGGAATTTGAGTACATCCCAGTTTCACTTTAACTTATTATGACAACAGAAAATCCAGAAACCCACTATTTCCATTCCAAAGAGTTTTTCTTTTTTGGTAGCTCTAAATATTTGAAAATGGTCATACTGAAGGTTAATTATATAAATGAGTATTTCCCCCATAACCTTTATGAGGTGTGAACATTGAAAGAAAATTAGAGCTAAAGCAAATCATATCATCTCAGTTTCAATGAAGGACTTTTTTTTTTTGACACTACAGAAAGTTTTAGATGAATTATTATTGTACTATGTAAAATATTAAGAACAAATTAAAAACTAAGACATTCTCTGGTAAATACTTGTACCTAAAGTCTAGCAAAAAATCATGAGAGAGCAATTCGATTAAAGCAATCTCCACATCAAGGATGCTGTTTAAAGTCTATCACTCCCCTAGGAGAGTAGCCCCAGACTCTTGACCCTTGACCCACACACTTGACCCTGACCCCTGTTAGGATCCCAGGCTTCAGACACCCAGCACTGCTTCACCTTATTTTGCTGCTCTCAGAATGCCCTAGAATGGCTCTCCTTGCTTCCCCAAGAATCTGTTACCAGCCACAGTTCCCTACCCTACTCCCACCCCTCATTCTCAGGGTCTCTGAATCTTGGATTTTGGATTTCATTTATTTATTTTGGCCACACCATGGGGTTTGCAGGATCTTAGTTGCCTGACCAGGGATTTAACCCCGGCTTTTGGCAGTGGAAGCACGGAGTCTTAACCCCTGGACCACCAGGGAATTTCCTGGATTCCATTTGAAGCTGCTGTTGTACTGTGTAAGCCCTTACTTAAAACTGTGCGTGCCTACATGATAAATTGCTTCAGTCGTGTCCGAGTCTGTGTGACCCTAGACTGTAACATGCCAGGCTCCTCTGTCCATGGGATTCTCCAGGCAAGAATACTGGAGTGGGTTGTCATACTCTTTTCCAAGGTATCTTTCCAAGCCAGGGATCAAACCCACGTCTCTTACATCGCCTGCATTGGCAGGCAGGTTCTTTACCACTAGCACCACCTGGGAATCTCATTTAAAAATGTAGACTCTAAAATATCAAAGTCATATACTTTCTTTTTCAGAATTAGATCCTGAGAAAAATAACAGCAGCTCCCTTCTGCTTTCATCTTTTCTTCTTGACAAAATAGAAACCTAGAACTCTCAAAATGAACATATTCTTTCTCATAAATTGGTTCCACTTCCTGTTGCGGCTGAACTCCATCAATGTTTTGTGTGTGCACTTAATTCTGCCTCCTTTTGCAGGGAATTCCTGAGCAACAACTTTCAGAGATAAATCAACTCACTGCAGTTGCATCCTGTCCATGGACCAGTGACTCAGGTAAGAAATTTTGTTTTCCTTCATTTTACTTGATGGGAAGTCATTTAAAACATACTTTCGCAATGTTTGAATATAATTTTAAGCTAATGCATGAAGCTTTAAAGGAATTTCACTTTTGCTATAGACAGTTTGGGCTATGTTCATCCTCACCCTCATTCTCTCCCTCTAGTTTTATTTTCTAAATTTCATTTCTTAGAATAACTTAAAGGAGCCAGGGTGAAATTATCCATTGGGCATAGTAAGTACGGTCTGTAGGGCTTGTGATACTGCTGCTGCTGCTAAGTCGCTTCAGTCGTGTCCGACTCTGCCATAGACGTCAGCCCACCAGGCTCCGCCGTCCCTGGGATTCTCCAGGCAAGAACACTGGAGTGGGTTTCCATTTCCGTCTCCACTGTTAGGAGCCCATAAAAATATTTTAACACTATTTTAAGTTCAGTAAAAAAAATAGTTGTTAATGATTAATCTAGCCTGGGGTTTTTATACCAAAGCAGACATAAAATATTTTATAATACGTATATGTTTTCTGGAGGAAAGGGCCCATGAAGGCAAGAGTACCTAAAGTCCACAAAAGTCATAACACACGGAAGTTAGCTAGCTGCTTTATTGCAAAGAAACATCTCTTAACTGATAACCATATTTGACATTCTCTGGAGTTTTTATGTTTGTGAATTTGATGATCTGATCCATTTCTGGCTAAGTTATATCATTTACTGGTCATAAAATTAGCATAGAGTGTAAAATTTTGAATAAAGACAATAAATAAGCCTTTGTATATTGATCTGGTAATTTAATTGGGCTTTAGTCTTTCCTTAACACAACATTTTCTTGCTCTTTTATTTTTTTAAAGTAGTGAAAATATTAGTTGCTCATGTCTGACTCTATGACCCCATGACTGTTCTCCAGGGACGAATACTGGAGTGGGTAGTCATTCCCTTTTCCAGGGGATCTTCCCTACCCAGGGATTGAACCTGGTTCTCCTGCATTCTCAGGCAGATTCTTTACCGTCTGAGCCACCAGGGAAATTTACTATCTTTGAAAATACCTTTTTTTTTTTTTTTAAAAAAAGAAAACAAAAAACCAACGAAACCGTGGTGCCATCTGCTGGTGGTTTAAGGAACAGTCCTACATGCTTGGGCTTCCCTGATAGCTCCGTTGGTAAAGAGTCCGCCTGCAATGCAGGAGACCCCTGTTCAATTCCTGGGTCAGGAAGATTCCCCTGGAGAAGGGCTAGGCCACCCACTCCAGTGTTCTCGGGTTTCCCTTGTGGCTCAGCAGGTAAAGAATCCGCCCGCAATGTGGGAGACCTGGGTTCAACCCCTGGGTTGGGAAGGTCCCCTAGAGAAGGGGAAAGGCTTACCCATTCCAATGTTCTGGCCTGAAGAATTCCATGGACTGTATATGGGGAATGATGAGTTGAATTCTGTGGCTCAGGTAATTTACAAAATGAAGAGAGACAGCTCACACTACCCTTTTCTCCTCTTGATGATTCAGTGTCTTTACTCTTTTAAAGTCAGGTTCCAATTGAACCATAAATCTGAAAATCCTGATTTTTTTCTCCTTAGATTACTCTTTACAGCAGCTAATTGCAATGGATGGCTTTTGAACTCCAGGTGAAAATCATCAGTTAGATTATGGATGCGGTTAAGTTGTCTCCTTGCACAGTACTTTGTAGAGTTCAGGAAGTCTACTTTTACCTGATCTCTCATAGGGTGATTTTCTGTCTCATTTTGTCTTTATTTCTAGAAACTGCCTTCCCCATATCTTCTGCTTTTACAGGTTCAGCTCATTTACCTACCTCCCATCTTTGTAATTTATCCCTTTCTCTATAGGAAATTTCTGACTGACCTATTTCTGACTTTACAGCTTCTTCTTGACTATGTTTTTATCCCTTGGCAGGATATTTCCTGACATTAACTCCCAGGTGCTGTATCTTCTGAAGGACCTACAGTTTCGGGGTAGAATAGTTGTTGGTCTGCCAATATATCCTATACTGTCTGCTTATTGGAATGTCTGGGGAACTTTGTTACAAGTCCAGATGCCCAGGTCTTTCCCTAAGGGATTTGAATCAGTCAGTCGGCTGGAGGCCCTGGGAATCTTCATTTTGATAAATGACTTAGGAGATTGTGGTGCGGCTTTCGTATTTCGGAACCACAAAAGCTAAAGAATATACTACTTCTCTGAGGACCCAAGGCTCTGTGTCAGGCAGCCCAAGTCCACCCTTACAGTCTCCTATTTTGCTATGTGTTAGTTGCTCAGTAGTGTTCAACTCTTTGTGACCCCATAGACTGTAGCCTGCCTGACTCCTCTGTCCATGGAATTCTCCAGGCAAAAATACTGGAGTGGGTTGCCATTTTCTTCTCCAGAGGATCTTCCTGACCCAGGAATCGAACCAGGGTCTCGTCCATTGCAGGCAGATTCTTTACCATCTGAGCCACATATTTTGCCATATCCACCTGTCATTCTTCTGTATGCACTTTCCTTCTTCCTCCTCCTTTTTCTTCTTGCTCCTTCCTAGCTATAAACTTTCTTCTCATTTTTTAAATCCCAGGTCAAATATTTGGGGGTCTTTCTTACCCTCTTCTTCCCTTTCCTTTTCCACTGAGCGAAATTAGTCACTCTCTCACCTGTACCTAGTCCTGTCCAACACTTTGAGACCCCACAGACTACACAGTCCATGGAAATCTCCAGGCCAGAATACTGGAGTGGGTAACCTTTGCCTTCTCCAGGGGATCTTCCCAACCCAGGGACTGAACCCAGGTCTCCTGCATTGCAGGCAGATTCTTTACCAGCTGAGCCATGAGTTGGAAGCCCAAGAATACTGGAGTGGGCAGTCTATTCCTTCTCCAGGGGATCTTCCTGATCCACGAATTGAACAGGGGTCTCCTGCATTGCAGGCAGATTCCTTACCAACTGAGCTATCAAGGAAACCTCTCATCTTTACCACCATTCCCCCATTAGAGCCCATACCACACTGCCAAATTCGCAACCTGAATCCAAATATTTATAACATAGGAAGAAGATAGCAAGGAATTTTAAAAACAGAGTCCATGGAACTCCTGCCTCAGAATCATCTAGAGTGTGTGATCAATGAAAGATTCCCACCCCAGATTTATTGACTCAGAATCTCTGGGGGTACAGTCTGCAACCAGTAAACCAAATAGTGCAGCTGAGTATCTTCTATCCATTAAAGTTTAAGAACCACTGCTCTATCAGCTACAGAAATCAAGATATCAGCTGAAATGCAATCCCTCCATGAACTTCATTAATTGACAAGACATATGTCAGAAGGTTGGGGGCACTCAGAGCTTTATTGGCAAGGCCAAGGGTTTGGCTTCAGTGATCAGTGTAGCACTTTTTCCTATATTGACTTGCTTTCAGTTAGGCCTCCTGATTTAAAAAAGTGAGGTAAAAGAAGTTATGCTTATGAGCAGCATCTTATTGATTTATTAAACTATAGGTCTTCTCCAAAAATGTTAAAATTCCATGGGCTTAGGCTATGTCTGGATCCTACGTTTAAGAAAATGATTCATATCAGAATTATTGCTGTCTTTATTTTCCTCTTGTGCATTTCTTGAGGGCACTATTTCTTATTTCTCCTTAGACTTTAACTTAAATTGTCCAGTTGTTTTGTAAAAGAACATTCTCATTTTTTCTCCTTGGGAAACTTTAGCAGGTAAATGGGATTAAACACGCTCAATAAAATCTCCTAAAATTCAAGCATAGTTGCTTTGGATGGTTGTAAACGTAGCCTTTAGAAAGCTTAGTCTAGAAACTGTGAATAATAGAAATTTATAAACACATGCCTCTGTGCCTTTAGAAAGTTATGTGACCTAGATCTAGCATCATATAGTCTGTTAAAATTTGTCTTAAACTACTAATACTTATTCTATCAATTCTATGTAATAATAACTAGACATCCTATGGTATACATTTTTTCCAACACCACCAAGTCATCAACTTACTTCTGACACTACCTAAAGATAGCATCCAGTCCCACAGGTTAAGGCCTCAGCCACACAGGACTGTCCACTGCCTCCACTTCAGATGCAACTCACAATTCTAAATTGTCACCTTACTTCTGACCAACTGGCTATAGGTCTGAAATTCCCACGACACCCTTCTTGAATTCGATTAATAGGCTAGAATGACTCATAGAACTCAGAGAAACATTTTATTATCTATTACCAGTTTCTTATGACAGGACATACATCAGAGACAGCCAGACAGCAGGGATGTCTAGGGTGAGGTATGTGGGAAGGGGCCTGGAGCTTCCATGCTCTGCGAGTGAGCCATCCCCCCTAAATCTCTGCATCCTCACCAGCCCAGAAACTCTCTGAACCTAGTCCTTTTGTGTTTTTATGGAGTCTTCATTACACAGGCATGGTTGATTAAATCATTGGTCATTGGCTGTTGATTCAACCACAAACCCTCCCCCGCCCCTAAGGTCAGGGAGGTGGGACTAAAACTTCCAGCTCTTTGATCACATGGTTATCTCCCCTGGCAACCAGCCCCCATCCTTAGGTGTTTTCCAGAAGTCATCTCATTAACATGAGCCTAGGTGTGGTTAAAAACGGTTTATGGTGACTATCAAGGCACTTTTATGACTTTTATCATTTAGGAAATTCCAAAGGTTTTAGGAATTCTGGACCAGAAACAGACAAAGATCAAATGCATATTTCTTATTGTAAATCAGTATTATACATCCCATATGCCCAGTTGCATTCATGTAGGGATGTGAAAGTAGTCCAAAGATGAAAAGTAGCAAGAAGAGAAGTCTGTGATCACCTTCCAGAAAGTATTAATATGACCCTGATGAAAAGGGAAGGTAATGCAGGATTTTGACCTCATCAGAAGTAAAGTTGAATAAATGCTAATTATCATTCACAGCTCTCAAGAATGCTTAGTGCTGGCTGAGAGCAGTATGGCTCTCTCTCATACTGCTGCTAATAGAAGTATGACTTTATTTAACCATTCCAGAGGGAAATTTTACATATATATAT